GCCGCCACTCGAGAACCTTTTTTCCCCATCGGTTGCCGGTTCTTCGAGCTATATGGCCGGCCTATTGCCACTTTAGCTTACTAATTCGCTGGGCTATGTCGGTCACTCTGGTTCTACTGAGGATATCGTCATTTATAAATTTATCACGCAGAGAAACTCCGAGCATAGCCCTCTCCATAGCTCGCTGAGCAACCTTGAGCTTCCTTATCCGGCCAGCAGTGAAGGACCACGTCTCAATTCCATGGGTCATCACTGGCAACTCGCACTGGTTGTACAGTCTCGTTTTAAAGTTTTGAGGTATACCTGACGAGAAGATGTGCCGTAATTTCCCGAACGCTGCCCAACCGAGTTGAATCCGTCGATTGACCTCTCGGTCAAAGTTGGACTTACCTAATCGGACTATTTGTCCCAGGTGAACATACTCGTCAACAACTTCGAGCTTAGTGCTCCCAACAACTACCGGCATTGGTGTGACAAAGACATTAAACATGATCTTTGTTTTGTCCATGGTCATCTTAAGACCTATCCGTTGGGAGACCCTATTGAGGTCATTGAGCATAGTGCTTAGGTCCTCCAGCAATTCTGCCATAAGGACAATATCGTCGGAAAATCGAAGGTGAGTGATGTAGTCGTCATTGATGTTAATACCGTATCCTTTCCAGTCCAGTAGCTTGAAAACGTCTTCCAATGCAGCGGTAAAGAGTTTCGGGAATGCAACGTCGTCCTGTCTTACACCTCTCTGCAGTTGGATATGTTTCTTACTCTGGTTCTGTACTCTGATAGCCATCGTAGCCCTACTGTACAAACACTTCAGCACTTCGATATACCGATAGTCAACTTGGCACCGCTGAAGGGACTGTAGCACCATCAAAATTTCGACGGATTCAAAGGCTTTCTCATAGTTCACATACGCAAGGCAAAGTGGCAGATTGTACTCTTCTGACTTCTATACAATTTTCCAAAGGGTGTGTATGTGGTCTATAGTACTAAAGCCTTTTCCGGAAACCGGCTTGTTCGATAGGCAGGAAGTCGTCGAGTCTGCGTGCGAGACGATTTGTAATGACTCGAAAACAACACGCAGACGCGGCTCAGAAGGGAAATCGGTCTGTAATTCTTCAAGAGAGCGTTATCGCCTTTCTTGAAGAAAAAGACCACCCCACTTCTGCTCCACGCCTTCGGAGTAGTACCACCATAGAGGACCAAATTAAAGAGCTTCTGAAGGACTTCACGTACCGGTTTTCCACCCGCTTTCAGCTCAGCTGTAATTCCATCCTCGCCCGGTGACTTGACGTTTTTAAAGTGCTGCAGAGCCATTCTAATCTCGCTCAGACAAACGTCCGGAATATCTTCGGAATAGTGTCGGATAAGACTCGCTCTTGGATCGTTACTCACACTTGCGTGTGGCTCCAACGATGACGTGTACAGCTGCCCATAGAACCTCTCAATCTCACTCAAAATCTCAGATGTCCCGGAAACAATGCTGCCACACTCAGTCTTCAGCTTTGACAGTTGGCTCTTTCTGGCAGACAGATCTCTGGTAAAGTCTGGAGCCTTGTTTCCGCTCGATCGCTTCTTCAATACAAACTGTATTGAAGTTGCGTAAGTCCCGCCGCATGCATTTGGAGATCTGTGTGTTCAGTTGCCTGTATGCTGTCAAATATGTTGAAGACTGCAGCTTCATTTCCCGTCTAACAGCCGTGAGATTAAGAGTGTGATCAGAAAGTTTTTGTGTTCTTCTGCGGCGGGTCTTGCAGATCTTAGCTCCGACCGCTTGGACAGTTTCCACGACCTTATCGTTCATATCGTCCACTTCATTGCAGTCTTCCAGGCACTGAAAACGGTTCTGTAACTCGAGCTGAAAGGTTTCGGGACTTTGGTCTAGAGCACGAGGGGGACGGAGCGCTGACTTCAGACGAGACCTCTCCAACTTAACGTTTAGGTTCAGTGAGCCTCTAACCATTCGGTGACCGCTACCAGTTTTCACCCTCGCGATCACTGAGACATCACTGAACAGTTGTGGTCTGGTCGTCATAATGAAGTCAATCTCATTTTTTGTCGCACCGTCGGGGCTAGACCAGGTCCACTTCCTGTGGGGGCGCTTCTGGAAGAAAGAGTTCATCATAAAGAGTCCCTCTTTCTCTTCTGTTGGCCCTTTGGATTCCGTTGTCCTAATCCGAATTTCCCTACTTTCAGCTCATTGTTCTCTCTTGTGCCTAGTTTTGCATTGAAGTCTCCCATTAATGCCGTATAGTGGGTTTTGGAGGAATGCATGGCTCTAGAGATATCCTCATACATTTCCTCCACCTCCTCATCGGGGCATGCCGAGGTTGGTGCGTAAACCTATATGACCTTCTGCGAATACCGTTTGGTGATTCTGAGTATAAGGTACCCAATCTTTACAACGTTGTTAACGAGAGACTTGTGGACGTTAAATCCGACACCTCCTTGGGACAGATGGTCGCCCTCCCGGTGATAGAACAAGTTGCTGGCTTCGAAGATTATCGTGTCCTCCCCCTCTCTTCGGACCTCGGATAATCCTATAAATCCAGCGCAACTTGTCTATCACTTGTTCCAGCTCCAGGGTCTTGTCGTCATTCCTCAGGGTGCGTGCGTTGCCAGGTCGAGTCGTCATAGGTGGCAACCGAACCTCCACCGGAGATTCTTAGCACCCCCTGCCCCGCCGTTACCATGGGCGCCACCGTAGCCAGGAATAGCGAGGCCGCCGGGGACTGGGGGCCGTTCTTTCATAACTTTATTCATTTAACATATTACCATAGTTGCCACGCTTGACGAGCGGGTTGGCAACCGCAGTTTTTTTATTGTGATATTGCTGTTATCAGGAAGATGCTGCTGCCCATCTCCTGCCTGTTTCCCACTGTCGCCTATTACGACACCCACGGGAAGATATGGTGTAATGGATATTCTGAACCGCCACTACACGGCATAGATCATGTTAATCGCCCATTTTGTCTAGTACTTTAAGTCAAAGTGAATGTGACGTGAGAAATTGAGTGGCATTTGACTAGATATTTGACCTCTCGGTAGAAAGTTATAATGTTCTGTGTATTTGGCCATAAGTCCATCCTTTAGTACGTGTTTGTTAGCAAACATAGAAAAACGTCGAAGATATAAGTAGAACATCAAAGTCTAACTCTGATGTTCTACCTATACATGGTTATTTTGCAATAACCGGCCAAATTAGCAGAGAAGGTTCAGAATAATTTTTTCACCATTGGCCTATATTACAGACAAATGGTAAAAAAAAATTAAAAATCTATATAATTCTATCATATAATTATATGCTCAATGCTCAATGACCTCAATAGTGTTTCCCAACGGATAGGTCTTAAGATGAACATGGACAAAACTAAGATCATGTTTAATGTCCATGTCACACCTATGCCGGTAGTTGTTGGGAACACTAAGCTCGAAGTTGTTGACGAGTATGTTTACCTGGGACAAATAGTCCGACTAGTTAAGTCCAACTTCAACCGAGAGGTCAATCGACCGGTTCGGTAAATTACGGCACATCTTCTCGTCAGGTATACCTCAAAACTTTAAAACGAGACTGTACAACCAGTGCGTGTTGCCAGTGATGACCCATAGAACTGAGACGTGGTCCTTCACTGCTGGCCGGATGAGGAAGCTCAAGGTCGCTCAGCGAGCTATGGAGAGGGCTATGCTCGGAGTTTCTCTGCGTGATAAACTTAGGAATGAGGATATCCGCAGTAGAACCAGAGTAACCGACATAGCCCAACGGATTAGTAAGCTGAAGTGGCAATGGGCCGGCCATATAGCTCGAAGAACCGACAACCGATGGGGAAGAAAGGTTCTCGAGTGGCAGCCTCGTACCGGTAAGCGAAGTGTAGGGCGTCCCCCCACGAGATGGAGTGACGACCTGGTAAGACATGCAGGAAGTCGATGGATGCAGGTGGCTCAGGACCGTGCTTTGTGGCATTCTTTGGGGGAGGCCTATGTTCAGCAGTGGACTTGTGAAGGGCTGTAATGATGATGATGATAATTCTATCCTTTTTATCTTTTAAATTCAAAATGTGTGGTAATGCATTATTTTAACTGATTTTACTCCGCACGCAGACATTTAATTTGGGATAATTTGAAATAAAAGTGGAGGCCTTATTTACTCTTATTTTCAAAAACTGCAATAAAGGTTTATAATTATTTTTATATTTCTGTTTAAATTTATTTGTTATTTTAATATTTGTATTGAATAGCCAAATTTTAAACTTAATAAATTATTTATAAGTTTGGCTATTCTTTGAAAAATAACCCTGTATTTAATATAACAAAAATAGTTTAAAAAATGTAGTCATCTATATGGTTTAAGAAGACATTATCTACGGAAAATTGTTTGCCATTGCAATAGAATATTTAATAGGCGTTGTACGATGATTATCATCGTTACAGCTTATAAAAATCTACTGCTGAACATAGTCCTCCCACATTGATTGCCTTATAGGAGGGATATTTGCTATAGTTGCCACGGATGGCGGGCGGCAGGCGGATTGGCAACCGCAGTTTTATACTATATCCTGTTTATTTACTGTCTGTCGCCTCTTATAGCACACACGGCTTGCTGTACCATAAATCTGCATATTATGCCGCATCAAATAATGAAAAAGTTATTGTTTAATATGTGCTCGAGATCGTCGGCTCGCTATACCGTGTGTATTATATAATAATCTAGTGTGTGTATTTTGCATACCTGTCGTACCGACCAATCAAGAAACAACTTAAAGGGAAAATAAAAGACGAAAAACGATAAAAATACTTAATAGAAAGTTATACAATTCAATCCCTGTTTGTGCTTAAATTCAATTTCGTAAATACATAATAGCTACGCAGTCGACTAAATACGAATCCGTGAAATATAAACACTGTCACTATAGTCAGTCAAAAAATTTATATTTCTGTACAAATATCGATCACAATATCTAAAGCACCATGTAGGTAAGGACGGATGGTTTTATCACTGCTCGGTTTTATACGTAGACTTCGCCCCGTTTTGAGCCGCCGGGCTTTCGACTGAACTCTGGTGGAGTGCCAGTACTAGCGGCGCTATGCTCGCTATCACGGTCCGAGGATGGCACTTCGGTGACAGTCGCGCGTACCGGCGGTGGGGTCGAAGTGGTCCCCGCGCCTCTATCCATACGTGGCGTCGACGGCGCTGACCCATTCACCAAAGTCAGCTGTGATACGCCCATAGGCGATAACGTTACAGATGAGACCACTGGCGCTGCTGTCAACATTGGCGCTAGTCCCGACGAAGTGAGAGCCGGAGACAAAACTGCCTGCGCAAGCGCAGTGGTTCCCGGCTGACCGGCGTGTAAAGTATTATTCACAGATCCACTGTCAAGCTCTTGTATCGGTGATAGCACCAGAGCTCCTAGTACGGGCACCTCGTTCTGGTAGCCCTGGTGTGCCATTATCACTCCCATGTTTTGCATTCCCATCGCAAGCCGGTTTTCACGGTCCATTACCTCTTTGGTTACGTCCGGTGTCGGTATTCGCGGTCGGTTACGAAGAGTTATTGGTATTGCAGAGCCGTTGCTCTTTTGTCCACCTGAAAGTCGACGACAAGCATGATTTTATGCTACATATAAAATCGTGAAATAAATATGTAAATAATAGAGTTGACAGCCTACGTGATGATCAGTTTTCATGGCAGCCTGTCATCACCATCATCATCATTACAGCCCTTCTACAAGCCTACTGCAGAGAACATGATCATAGTCCACTCCCAAGAAACACCCTGAACACGGTCTTGAGTAACCTGTATTCATGGACTTTCTGCATATTTTAAGCAAAGTACCTATATGAGGCCGAAACGAAACTGGCACTCTAAAACCTTTCTTCCCTTTCAGTGGTCGATTCTTTGAGCTATACGGCCGGCCCATTATCACTTTAGCCAACTGATCCATTGCGCTATCTATGTTGGTTACTCTGGTTCTACTGCAAATATCCTTATTACGGATCAGGATTCGACTGCAGAAGAACTGCAAACATAATGCTCTCTATAGCTCGCTGAGCAACCATAAGCTTCCTCATGCGGCCTGCGGCAAAGAACCACATCTCATACCTTTATCTATGCTGACAAATACTGGTTGTGCACTGTTACTTTAGAGTTTTGAGGCATACGTGACGAAAGATGTGTCACTAGATCTTTTGATTTGATTCGTTGATTGAACTCTTGGTCGAAGTTGGTTTTAGCCGATAATTTGTACTAGGTAAACATACCCGTCAGACACTTCGAGCGAGTTGTCCCAACGACTGCCGGCATAGTTGTGACATGGATGTTACGACTACATATAACTTTGGGCCTGTCCATAAATAATCTAATACTTTGAGGTGACAACGCACCTGTAGCTTTTTTATTTCGGTTCGTTTGTCACTTCAGTTTTATAAAAAAAACTTATAATATAATTTTTCTTTTATACAGTATACAAAGTACGGAAGTACAGTATATGTAATTGAAACAATATTAAACTTGTAACTATTATCGTTAGTATGGCGAAAACAACTTAAAAATAATCTGTTACCATGTCTGGAATTTTGTCGATGCTGACCACGCCCAGATTTACGTCCAACTAGCCTCTCATAGAGCGACATCTTGTGGTGTGGAGGCAGTGGAGCGATAGGTTGCCCGGCTTCTGGGCTTGAATATACGACGGAGTTGTGACGGTTTCGTCCAAAAAGACCTCCTGAAGAATAAGCAGTAGATGCAGATCGAACTGATCCCATTCTTGAGATTTGCCTTTGAAACCAATTTTTTCTTCGTTCAACTAACGGTGTATCAACACTTTCCTGTAAGAGAAAACAATTTTTCGTTCATTATTTTCGAACAATTAAACTTTATTAAGGTGGTTTTGTGCAAGAAATTAATATTTTGGTTAACCTGTGCTGCGCCGTTTAGTAGTGGAGTGAGAGAATTTACTCCCTATATCGTTTCGCAGGTGTTGTAAAAGACATGATGAAGGAACACTCAAATAATATTCGTTCACAAACCTCCCGGTATATCCTTGGTGTTGCAATAGTGACGGAACGGATGCAACTCTAATGGTGACTGTTGGCGCGGGACTTTGTCAGAATATAATCTGTAATATAGGTGAATAGGAAACATTGTACCCCCTTCTTAAGCATATTGTGCGCACGCCCCTTTCCGTCACTATTGCAACACTAACGATATATGAACGAATATTACCTGAGCCTTCTATATCGTTTATATGCTCTATGCCGCGGATAAAATACGTTTAAACTTTAAGAGTAGTTTGAAATTCGTTACAACTTCCGGACGCAACGACGCTTTAACTATTAAACTTTCCAACATGTTATACTGCAAATTTTAATGAAAACTAAACTACATAGAAGCAGATCATGAACCCAAACGTCGTTTAGGTGTAGAAGTACTTTACTTCTATTCGTTATTTTTTAACTGTAACTTTATACAGTTGTTTATAATGTTGTGATTAAAAATAGAATTGCAATATTTATTATTCTTTGTTAATAAATGTACAAAGTTAATATTTCTATATGTATTTAATTTTTAGAGAATATGAATACAACCCTCGGTTGCCTAATGCTACCACCAATATGTATTTTATTTAGATTAGTTACCAATAAAATATTTATACTAAATCATTACATAAAAGGCAAAAAATAATTTGTTGATTTATTCTTTATTGCATTCCCTATTACAAAAAAAATATAAAGGGCATACTTAATGCCATTAGGCATTCTTTGCCAGACAAGTCTTATGGTATGGTAAGTATGGTGAGAATTTGACATAGATAATGGGTATTGAAAAAATATTTTTGATAATAAATAAAATTCGATTTCATAGTTGAAGTAAAAAATGTATACTCTAACACTTAAAAGAATTAATTTTACTAAAAATATTCCCACAGTTTGAAGCAATTTTTTTCTTTCTTTTATAGAATTAGGGTGAAGTGGATGCAGTGGCCCATAGACATCTACATTTATCCTCAATTAATAAACAACATGCAAATGCGTTTTCACCACTGAGAACTGAGATAGAATGCCTCGTTTCCAGTAAAAAGGATATCCGGTTCTCTACACTCACCATACGAAACACAGCAGCATTATGTCTTTCCCCGGTCTGGCCGACCCATTTGTGCTACAACAATAATATAGCTGCAGCGTGGCGCTACCACGTAAGACACCGCGGTCCTTAGAAGACAGTGTAGATTTAAATCTAGCCCCGACTTTAAGATATGAAATTAAATATTTTACTCTTATATTTCAAGCCGGCTTTTGCTTTTTATAAAAGGTAATTTTTTACGCTTTTAAGGGGACTAAAGTCGCGTATCGATTATGCGCTCCAAGAGGTCGAACATTGGCGCGTTTACAGACGCGCGAAATGGATACCGCATTGGAACGTGCGCCAAATTGTTCGTTGGAACCAGGGTTGTTGCGGATGCTGAATTTTTGACATCGGATGCGGTTGCGGATTTTTAGAGGCTCACATCCATGGATGCGGATGTGGATGCGGAGTTCAAGTGGTTTTTTTAGGAAAACTTAAACGCGACCCTTAGTGCTGCAATTCATTGAAGAAATTTGTATAAAATTCTTCAATGAGTTGCTTTTTTATTTGTAAAATAACACAGTTTTCTGAAGTCGGACAAACTCTACATCAATACTTACTATAGAAACCTGTAAGTGTTTTAACCAGCTTCAAAAAAGGAGGAGGTTCTTAATTCAGATATCTATATATTTTTTGGTTTTGAAATTGCTTCAAAAGTAGAAGTTAGAACGGTTGTTTTCTCATTCATGTGTTCGTTGCGTTCTGAGCTATGGGATTACCAGAGTTGCCGTAAATTGACAAAATTATATGGTTTAAAATAACTGCTGTGGAATAGCAAAAGTCGTTTTTAGCATAATAAAGCGCTCAGAGAAGATGCATGGAACTATGAAAGCGGCAACTGTTCGTACACGCCCAACATCCATGTTGAACGGTCAAACACTGGCACGGCTGCCGCGCGCGATCACTTTTTTCGATTGATTGATTGATGATGATTCTTATTAAAAAAAAACAAACTCGAGTTACTATTGGCGAAGATATAGCATATACATCCAAAAATACACAACAGTCGTTTACTAAGTATCGTCCTTTCTCTGAAGTCGGCTAAAGTACGGTTTTATTTTAATCTGAAAAATAGCATCATTTAAACGTATTATCGTAGGTATACTTCCGTTAGCTACTTCTTTTCCTAAGTCAATAATGCTAGTGGTCGGAGTGATTCATGACAGTAGTCGAATGGCAGATTAGAGCCTACAACTTTTGAGTCACAGTCAGGCGCGGTCCGTATCCTTAAACATGAGACTACTGACGTTCCATTTTTAAAACAAATAAAAAATAATACGCATTTTAAAAGTTCAAGTACATATATGTTATATTAAGTCACGGAGTTACTTACGTAATCAGCATAAGTTTCGTCGTGGCTCTTCCTTGGCGCTTGTACATTAGCGTACACCGCATCTTCAGCCTTAACCTTGTAGTGGTCGGCGGAACAGGGCGGCTCATGACGTCGGTAATGTTCGGAAGCAACAGTATACGGCAGGTCTTTGGGGACCACCTCCTCCCAGTACTGATCTTTTAGAAGCTCTGGATGCTCTTCATGCATTTCGTCTACTATCATATAGGCTGCCTGCAGTCATAAATTAATAATAGTTAATCGAAATGATGCTATATTAAATGGTTTATAATTCTGGAAAAATTATATAAAATATACACATTTATAAAATTTCATTAAAATCGGTTGAATGGTTTGGGAGTTCATCGCTGACAAACAATGTGACACGTAATTTTTATATATATAAAAAAAATTGAAAACTTATTAATTTTATGTGAGGAAAGTTATTATTATCACTCATAGTTTTGTTGTCACCTCTGACCTCTATAACCATCACAGGTAAGATAGTGATACATGCCAGACGAACTTTTAGAGCGAAAAGGAGCCCTACCACCTGGTTAAGTATAGTGCCTGCGTGTTGTGAATGTTCACCGAAACGTACTTCGGGATCAGGTGAGCAGTATTTGACGCAAATAGGTCTATCTAAGGCGGGATTTCCCTACCTATGTTTGACCAGGGACCAATTTGATTTTTTTTTTGTTGTTAGCTGGAACCACAAGGTGAAAGCAAAAAATGTGTTAATCTAACAAAAAATTATAATCACAACTTTTAACAAAATTATATAATAAACTGAAAAAAAAAAGCTTTCATTAACAGTATTATTTGTGTATTTATTGTAAAAGCTAGTTAGGTACTTACTAACGGGACGCGTGACACAGTATAAATATATAGTAGGAAAGAAAACAATAAATGTGTTTTTTAAAACGAATAGATAAGTAAAATATTTAAATCTTTCGCTGACCATATTTAAGCTCTTGCGGACCACTGTTTGGAAATCACTGATGACTAAGGTGTGCCCCATATTTGACATATTTGATGTGGCTGTTGCTGTGAGGTGTGAGGGGCAAGCCATTTGGCGTGATAAAGCACATCAATATTAAATCTAATTGGAAACTACAATATAAAGGAGTATATTGAATTTGTCTAGATCTCTAAGTTGTAGAGTTTGCTTTAGAACGTTTTTAGTCTCGTATTCGCCTTCCTTATTTATTAAAGATACTACTGTTCGATTATCTGTATGAAGAAGCACTTGTGAGTTCTGTAGTCTTCACTCACGTTACATGAATAGCATCACGTTACAAGCATTTACTAGCTATTATTTTTATATTGTAGTTTTCGACAGTACAGCCAATCTCTGCGGGTTACATAAGTAGCAAAATTGGGTCTTTATCTTTCTAATTTCCACAGGATCACATGCTGTTTGAGGGACCACTTGCCATTTAAAATCTATTGCATAGCGTTAAAAACCTGTTTTCGATAAGGACTTTTCATTGTGTTTTGTGCTCCATTTTATGCCTTTTAAAATCTTTTGATATGCACTTGGCATTGCATAGCGTTAACACCTTTTTTCAATAAGGACTTTTCATTGCCTTTTGTGGTACATTTTATGCCTTTTAAAATCTATTGATATGCACTTGGCATTGCATACCGTTAACACCTTTTTTTTATAGGGACTTTTCATAGCGTTTTGTGATCCATGTTATACTGAAATACTGAAGAAACTGTTTCGTAACCAGCACGAACTTTTTGACATTAAGCGTCTAACCCAGTGAATACATGATCTGTATCGTTACCGATATATCTCGTACCTGTTACATAGACTGGTTTTCTAAGAGCTATATTGTCCATATAAACTAAGCGCCTAATGTACTGACTCCTAACTCTGTCCAGTTGGTTATTGTGGCAAATTTTCTCGGTGCGGAAGAAACACCAAACCGGAAACAGTTCATCTTGAGCATTTTGTGCTGTTTAGAATTATTAAGGTATGGTCTCATGTAACATTGATGACGACAAGCAATCGGAAGAATAAAATAGACTTGACTCAGGTCCGGTTCTCAAAAATGATTGAACAGTCTGAATGATTTCATTATGACGAATTTGTTCAGTTGCTTCAAATTGGATATTGGACGGAGACTTGTACCTACTTGTCTTCGCTTGTTCGAGTTCTCTCGACTTTATTAAATTTGGCGAGTCATATTTAAGGAAGACTTGATCTTGTAACTCTGAATCGCCATTGGTTTTGGACGTATCTAATATTACGGCTTCGGTTTGAATGGGATGTATGCACTGTTTAATGGAGTGCATATTTATTCTGGCGCACTTAAATTGTTCTAAACTAAACATTGTTAAGCAATGCTTCGTTTGTTTAATGTTTGGAGCTGAAGTGATCATTTTATCGACCTCTACAATTTCTTTAAGATTGATTTGAATGGGATCATTGTCCAAAGTGAATATGAATTAGAAGGGAGTTTATGTAAACCATCGAGATAGCTTTTTACAGGGTTTTGTCGCACTCACGTCTCGATATAAGCTAATTTAATTTATTCGTCCGCCATCAACGACGTCTTAAGAGTTCGTTATCTACTACTTATAAACTTTTTGAAAAAGTTTTCATTCCTTTTTAATCCTAATTCATTCCTTAGAAAATAATAGAGGTGTTGTTTGAATTTTATGGTTGTTTAAATCGCAGGAGAAATGAGAATCATCATGCAAAATCGCAGCTTCAAAAAATTAACACTTACGAACCTTGATGTGCCTGTCTATTAGCCAATTTAATTCAATATCGTCATCGTCCTCGCCAAACGGATTTATAAGTACTTCGGCCACCTTTAGCCATCCAACGTAGAAACAAAACTGTAGGCAAAAAAACATGTATTCATTACAATGTTCATTAATTAAATCTCTTTCATTTGTCAAAAACTATTTATTCAAAATGGCGTCAAAATCAATTATCTTCTAATTATTAATTAAGACAAAACATATTCGTGGTAGTATTATTTTTATTCTTACCTGCAAAGCCGTAAATAGAGGAAAATATACGTCGGGTTCATATTTTGAAGTGCTGCCTGGGGCAGGTGGCACTAGCTGCCGGCCCATTAGTGCGGCCACGAAGTATGTATAAAGAGCTAACGTCACCACCTGCAAGTAAAAAACAAAAGCGTTGAAAATAAAGAATGATAATTTATGATGTAGACAAGTTTTGTTTACATATAGGTACAAGATATAGCTCGATTGCTGGTGGTTGCATGAACGCGTTTCATCTAGTATAATATATTATAAGAACTTTTGCTTTAAATCTTAACGTTACTTGCAATAAAGCACATGCTGAGTAAGGCAATGATGAGGCACTAAAAACCGAACAAAAACCCATTTAGAGATTCCGAGCCCAAATCCGAGAACACTAGTGATCAGAAGCTGGTTACATTTAATCGCGTGGGTGTCGGCATTACGCTCATCAATTCACAAGTACATAAGATAGACAGACAGTTCAAAAATGATAGAAATATATTTAATTATTTATTTTTAGACCCTCTCAAATATTTTTGTCAAAAAAAATATACAAAGAATAAAAACAGCCTTACTGCTATTTACATTTTTATTATATTATTTCAAATACTCAACGCAATCAATCATTGAACACAGTCTTCCCTACATTTAAATATAATAACCGTAACTTTTGATAGAATGTACCGATTTTAACAAAGCTGAGACTAAATGTTACTCAAAGATACACTTCGTAATTTTCTTAACGCTTCTTTTAAAAATATTTATACTTTAGACGTGACGCTTTCATAAAACAGACAGGCAGATAATTCTAAAAATGATAGAAATGTATTGCATGCCTTAAGCGCAAAGCGTGTAGGTATATTCTACTAGCGCCTAAAAATGAAGATTCTAATGTTTTGTCGCATAAAATCGTATCTAACAATCATATTGAACATATAAATTAAAATTTACATTAAAACATTTTCAGAAAGATAATTAATTGTTGAACTTATTAATATTTTTTTTAATCAATTAATTACTATTTTTACATAAAAAAGTGGTTTTAGTGGCTTATTAAGTCTCGTACAGATTTATCAAGTCCGCATGGAGTGGTAAACATGATAACTTTTGAAAATATCAATTGTTTAACTCGCTGTACAAATACAAAATATTCGAAAAGTAATACACTTGATTATTATAATAATCACAGATTTTTATTACAATATTTTAAATGCACAGTATAAATAATAGTACTAAGTACTAAAAGTAAGTAGGATGTATATATATTTAAGTATATTTATACTTAAATATGTCTTGGACTTTATGGAGTGACCTGAATGATGATATGATGATCATATGAGCATTATGAGTCGTGCACTTTTGGATATTCCAAACTTTTTTTTTGAATTGAAGTTTGACATAAAATTATTAGAAAATTGGAAGTAAAATATAAGGTTATTAGTGAAAAGTTGTGTGTATTTAAACTACTTTAAAAAAATTACGTATAATCATGTCATACGTAATTTTTTAATGCACTTAAGGCATACTCAATTGGATTTACCAATCGTTTTTTAATTACTTAAGTCTTTCTTAATCATTTTCATTTTGTCACAAACATATAAAATATATCCAGCAACACTTTTAACGTCATGCACGTACATATAGTGCAACATTTCGACCTCCCTGCATTTTTATATCATCTCTCTGCGAATATTGCATAGTTTTTTGATTTCTTACTCAGTGGGGTATTTCACTTTTCTATAATATTGTTTTCCGTAATATTCTTCTTGCAGTTGCGCCCAAGTATTTATGACCTCCGATCCATGATGATGTATTCTTGGCTTCCTGCATATATCGAGCACGATTTATCTATTGCGTCGACATTTTGAAGCCCACAGTCCCCTCGTACACGCAAATGCGACGTTGCCTGCTTTTATTTCGTTTTTATCCCTTTTTAGTGACTGCTGTACTGCTCAGTTTCGAAGATACGCACCTCATAATCTCGACTCAAAATATTTATAATACGATATTTATGGATATTTGTGAAATTTACTATTCATAGTTTTACTCCAGGGTCCGACTGAGTATTTTCTATACGTCAACGATGTGTGTAATTTATTCCGGCATGCCTCTGTATACGGATTTGCTGACGACATATGTATTATCACATGATGCAAAATTAGATTAACCTGTTATGTCAATGGCCAAGTAACTACATGTTGGTTTAACAATCAATTATCAAAAAACTAAACTCATGCACATTCATTCACCGTACTTAAAAACACAAAGAACACAAAATGTCGTGGTTCATGAACACCAGTTGCATCGGTGCTTGAATGTCTGTGACTGTAAGCCTCTAAGATTGAAAATGGTAAAGAATATGTATATCTAGGTCTTAAGATTACATTTAGTTCGGGCCCACGTGGGGACTCTGTGTGCACTAAGCTGAGAGCTTGATATTGTTGAATATGGCATTGGCCGACTCTGTTATCAATTATGGCATAACCGGTTATGGAAGAACTTGTAAAACTTACCTACCTTCAAAAAACCTATAATATACAGACATGATTATTAAAGATAATAGTACTTAGTTATTCCAATATTTTAACAAAATATTTTAGCGAAACTAACTGTTGCCTCTGATTACTGTGAACATAATATGAGTCAATTACAAAAAGAAGTAGAGAAAATTCTGTTCGTAACCTGTCGTGCTTGCCTCCAAGCATTCTAAATAAATTGCCAAGGAAATAGCCAAACAATATAAAGATAAACATCTCGACAAATAAAAAACATTTTAAAAGTATACTATACCACATGAGTAAAGAAACCGACCAGAGGGGAAGCTACATACAAACGGCTCGCTGCTAGTACACCCATACATAGCGCAGCGATGTGTGCGTGAGCTCTCACCGACAGGTTCACCGACGCTCCGTCGGGGTACAAACCGGTTTGCGCCGGCTCAGTCAGTGTCCATGAAAGGGCTGTTAGTCGTGCGCATTTAAATAAATAGACCAAAAATATTTCGATATTTTATACATCAATTAATTTATTAAGTATTTTTGCAATTATTAAATAATTAGATTAAAGTTTTTAATAAGAATAATTAAGAATTAAGTTATTATAAATTTATATAGGTAAATAATAAGTTTTCTGTATAAGCAAAAATGCCTAATAGTTGTACAGTATGCATTTTTTTTTATAGGAGAGGGGGCAAATGAGCTTGCGGCTCACCTGATGGTAAGTGACTACCGCCGCCCATGAACAACTGCAACACTAGGGAGAAATAATATAAATGTATGCATGGTGAAATATGCAGGAATAATTCTAGAGAAAATAAGGATATTTCCTTTTTTTTTTACCCGAGAGATCAAGTGAAGTAAATACCTTTTTACGTATACAATAATACTAGGTAATAACATTGATAGGTAAGTGAGAATGTGTTAGAAAGGTGCGTCGCCGAGTGATGATGTCGGTCTCACCTACTTGAAACGTTAGTCAGTCTAACTTTGACAGTGCCGTAGATGGCAGAATATCCTACGTAATAAGGCTAAATGTGTGACTTTATCCACCCACATTAGTATAGAGGTGGGTTGCTTCCTGGGGTAGGATATAAGTTACTTTTTGCGAGTCGCGACCGCAGGGGTAAATACCACTGCATTATGGTTGGAATACAATCGCCAGGGATTGGTGTTGGTGGAAGTGGTGCTGGTGTTGGTAGATAGTGTTGGTGTTGGTGGATAGTGTTGCTGATGGTGTCAGTGGTGGTGGAGGTGGTGGTATCGTAGGTAATGGTAGTAGGCAGTGGACCAACAGTGACTTCATCAACACCACCACCATCACCACTATTACTATCACCACCACTGCCACTGCCCACGACCACCATCACAGCCACAACTACCACCACCACCACTTACACCAAAACTCTTGATTTCGAACAATTAATAAATATGTTGTTACATTAATATAAGTTATAATTAATACACATGATGTCTTATGCTATACAATATTTTTATTTTTTCCTTAAAATTTTCACATGCATCAGGTGACAACCCTATCAGAATAGGTATAGATTTTCGACGTTGGTCCCCTCTGGTCCTCTTTACTCTGTGGTTACTCTGTGACTATACCGTGGAAAAGTCTGGTATGGGGGAGGGGCCTACGTGTGTGTCCACTACCAGACAACGAATTGTGAGCGAGTAACACATTACATTAATCAATAGCGCACATAATCTTACCACAAAAAGATTGAGCATTATTTTAATGTAATAATATAAATGTATGCATGGTGAAATAAATGTTTGAAATTTAAATTTATTACATATTTACTTGTGAGAAAACTTCAAGCCTCGCAGAAGAATTGTATTAAATAAAATCCTTTTCTCCTTTAAAAAGTATAGGCACTGTTTAATGCTGTGCACAAGCACTTGGGGATATTCCTAAGTAACACATATTTTAACTAGGTATGTGGAAAAGTGCTTGTAAGTAATGTGTGACTTTTTATTATAAATAGCTGAAAAAATAAAAAGTGTAAAGAGCCTATATATATTATAGGCATCCGTATATTCCTAATAATAATATAAACCGTGGTAGCTCAGGGGTTAAGCGCAGGCTGTGAATTTCACAGTACCCGAGCAACCCGGGTTCGATCCCCGCCGGCATCAATGATTACGTTGCGTTGACGTTAATTGCAATTTTAACTGCTGATTTACCACGTGCTCGGCGGGATAACATCGAGAGGAAACCGTCATGTCTGAAAAAAGGAAAAAATATTTCGAAGACATGTGTTACCTTAAATCTAGTCAGAAATGAAAGGAAGCCTGTGTCATGCTGTGAGACGTATATAGGCTGTGATTTTAAATCTTACTAATCCGTATATCATAGTTATTGGACATCCGTATATAATTACATATCTGGTGTCTGTATATACTCGTAATTATCCATAGTCCGTATATAGCGATCGGAGGACCGTATGTAGATTTCTAGCGACCGTATATAGTTATTCAGCGCCCGTATAATTTAGTATCGGGCGTCCATATTTACCAGATTTACTTAAATTCTTCCTTAAAGGATTTTTTATTGAGTTTATTGATGTTATGTCATATTATGGATTAATGGCTCCTGATAATGACAGTTGAAGAAGAGAGAAACCTAGA